ATTTAGTAGTGCCACCTACTAAATCAAAAAAACCAATAAATCTAAAACAAGTTCTTTAAGAATTTGAATAGAGGTTACCATGTAGTAAGGAAATTAATTATAACATGTACAGGAAAACATATGCACCAGTATAAACACTGTACATTTCAGGTTTTATTTTAAATCTTAGGTAACAATTCTTTTGATGAAACACCGTGGTAAAAACAATTTGGGGAAGAAAGTGTTTATATGGCTTACACTTCCCCATCCATAGTCCATCACTGAAGGAGGTTAGAACAGAAATTCAAACAAGCCAGGACAGGAACCTGGAGGCAGGACCTGATGCAGAAAACACTGAGGGGTGCTGCTTACTAGCTTGCTCATATGGCTTGCTTAGCCTGCTGTCTTATAGAACTCAGGACCACAAGCTCAGAGATGGTTTCAGTGATATTTTACAGGGACATCCCACTTCATTTACTACTTAAGAAAATTTTCTATAGGCTTGCCTATATATCAATCATGTGAAGGCGTTTAATCAGGGTTCCCTACTCTTACATGACTCCTTATATGTCAAGTTGGCATAAATTTAGCCAGTACACTTTTTTAAAAAGAAATCTAAAGATATTTGATAGAGATGTTTAGTGAGAAGGAAACATGTGACAGTTGGAATCTCATTGAGCAGCAAGCCCAGGAGTTTTTTGTTTAGACAAAGAGACCTGTGGAGGAAACTCCTTACCAGGATGATGACAATAGCTTGCAGCATTGTTGGCTTCTGCAGATGAGTATGAAATTTTTCTCAGACCATCTACCACTAAACCTGACAAAAACATCGGGCTCTACACTGGATGCTTCATAAATCAGGACTATGTAAGGCTGTTCATGGTTCTGTTGATACCACTGCATACTGTTATTATACAGTACGTTAGTGATGTTCTCACAGGACGTGAAGTATATGGTGTCCACTTGTCCCATAGACACACCAAGCAAGCTGAAGACTGGGTCAGCACAATGTTCCAAGTAGAGCCTGGAATGATAAGCACACAAACACTACAGTTATAGGCACACTGAAACTGTCTTTGTGTGATATTTATGACACCTGTAGCAACAATCACAACCATCACTCTGAACTATTAGGAAATAAAAGTGAAAATGTGATGGTTAAAAAGAATTTAAAAATGCCATAATTCCAAAGATCAAGACCCCAGAAACATGGGAAACATACATGTCTACTGTAGAAGCTCACAATGCTTTGCTGCACTGTCTCACCTTGTATTCAGAGTATCAGCACCCATAGCAAGAGAGCAGCTGACCCCACCTCTTAGAATTGGACTAAAGACTCGTTTTCTGGTCACAGGCTTTGAAGATGATTTGAGAATGCTGGGCCTTTGCCTAGTGCAAAGCAGCTCAGTAAAACTCAAAATCAGAGGGACACCTGCTCCCATCTCCATGGTAGGTGAGGTTGGCAAAACCATTCAGGGAGCAGCTCAAACACATCCTAAGGGATTTTATGACTGCCTTGTTCAATTTTCACAACATTTATTTTTAAAAAAATTTTAAAATATAAAAATATATTCTTATATAATATATTTTTGATCATGTTTCCCTTTCCTCAACTCCTACAGATTCTTTCCTCCTCTGTACTCACCCAACTTCATATTCCCCACATCTCCTTTTCTTTCTCCCTCTACCTCTCTCTCTCTCTCTCTCTCTCTCTCTCTCTCTCTCTCTCTCTCTTTCTCTCTCTCTCCCTCTCCCTCTCTTTCTTCCTCTCTCTCCCCAAGAAAACTCAATTTTTAAAACTGTAAGATAAAAATAAGTGCTCTATGGAAACTCTAAAGAATGGAGAGTTCTTGGAACACTTTCTAGTCTCAACAATATCAAAGTTTTCAAGCAACAGTGCTTTTCACATTGTGATCCTGAGCAAGAAGAAAAAGCAACTGGACTTCACTCAAGATTTAAATAATATGGCTTCCATTTGGTTTGAAGAAGAATTTACACTACTGAGTAGCCTTCACTCCAAATCTATAAATGCTCTCAGGAGCTAAAATTATGAGAGACATGAGCAGGGATCATTGTGAATAAGCAGAGTCATCCTTTACTACAAAATCCAATGCTGAACCAACAAGATATTCTAAAGACAGAGCATTTTCCCACTGGATCATATTCAGAATGGGAGTATCTAGTATCTCAGGCTCCACAGTTAAAAAAATAGTTTAAAAAAGATTTTAGAGCCGTATGTGGCCCCAGAAACAAGGGCAACAGATATCATATTTTCTCTCCTCTTTGGATCCTTAATATGTTGTATGTAAAGCTCATGTATGTATATACGTATGTATGCATAAGTGTGTATTTGTGTGTGTGTGTGTGTACATGTATACATGTGTGTATGTGCATGTGTATATGTGTGTGGTGTTTATTTGTATATACATGTGTATGTGTGTACATATGTGTACATTTTATACGTATGCATCTAGATAGAAAAAGGAAACAGAGAGAAAGAGAGAGAGGCAGAGAGAGAAATAGACTAGAAAGAAAAAATAGCAAGATATTGTTGGTACAGTGTGATAAGGTGTGTCTCTGTATGTTCAATTGTTATTTGTGTACAGGCAGAGAGCTAAATGCTCACAGGACTCTTGTATTGCCATTTCTATGGTCCATTACTGGGTTTTCTATTTTGTAAATATTCATTATTCTTCATCTTCCTAAGGGATTCTAAAACTGTATCTGATTGGTCAAAACAAAGATAAACCAATAGCCAGACAGGAAGTGGAGGTTGGAGCATCCATGCAGAGAGAGGGATGCTGGAGGAAGAAGCATGGTAGATTCAGCCAATGAACACAGAGGTGAACTGATAAACCAAAGAAAAGCATGAAGTTAGAGCTGGCCACAGCCACGTAGAATGACTTAGAGCCAGGACTTGCCAGAGGCCAGCAACGGTATGGTGGGGAAAATCTTTCTCCTTGTCAGTTCTTCTTGATGCAATGGAAGGGGAAGAGCATCAGCGGGGGTAAGACTTGGTCTTATGAGATATTTAGAGTGGTTATATAAGTTTACTTATCTAAGTTACTATGCTACTGTAGCTGACCGGCCTTCTGTGATCCTCTGAGGCCAGAAACTACAGTTTCTGGCAATTATCACCTCATACTAAAAAGAGCAAAGGATAAGTAATAGCCTTTGTACTATCTCAGGAGGAACTGCTGGGCTCTAACTTATTCCTGCTGGTCTGAGGTCACAGGAAGAAAAGACACTTAAAGATGTGATTATAGCGTTTATTACTAAGTTGTTAAAAGTTTACTATGAAAGCTGTCTAAGGGGAAAAGTAGAAAGATCCTAAGTGGGGAAAGGTAAAATTCTACTCTATCTGAGGAAAGGGAAAAATATATTCTACCTCTCCATTCTATCTGCCTCTCATCTCTTTGTCCTCAGTACTTATACATCTTTCAGAATACATGATCACATGTTACAAAGTTCATCACAAGTTCACACCAAAAATCAAATCACAAATTGAAGTAGAAGTTTACAACAGAGAATGTTTACATACATATCCATTAGGAGTAAGTATCTGGCTAAACATCCATCATCTATCTAGCTCCACAGGTTCACTGAAGTTTTAAAACTGTAAGTTTTTAGTGAAGTTTTATATAGATAACCACAGGCAATATTCTATCTTCTCTCCTATCACCTATAATACATCATTAGTTCCCTTTTAATGACCTTTGATTAATTGTTTAACAACCTCTTGGAATGTGCTCTGAGTAGGAGAAAGTCTGGTTACTATCTAAGAGCAATTCACTGATAACACTTGGGAGACTGGCAGAGTTCTCATTGAAGTTTTGACTATCAGAAAGGGACCTAATAGCAGTCCCTCTATAAAAGAGTTTAATAATCATTGATATAATTTTAGGAATTCTCATAGGATCATCATTGAGATTTAAGAAGTCATATATTTGTCTATATAGCATCACTACAAGACAGTACATCTTTGGGAATCTGCAGAAATCTGTTCCAAAGGGGTGTGCTATTGCTCAGTGATTGTTATATATGTTTAATGATAATAGAAAAACGATTTTAATAGCAGTAGTCTTTCCTAAAAATGACTTCCTTACAGCCTTACTGATAAGGATGCACCTGTTGAAGATTATATAATAATCCAAGGCAGGCCTTTTCAGGATGATCACCTGCTAATTATTAGCTTTTCCCATTATACCTCATGACAAGCGCTAGTCAAATTAGGGTAGCTTGGAGACTGCCCAGCAAAGGTCTAAGTTTTAAAACATTAAAAATCCCCTGTATCAATAGTTAGGTTGCTGGTAGGTCAAAAATAGCCCCACTATGACAAGACAAAAGAGAAATGAAAATGGAGAAAGTTAGTGAATATATACAAAATATATGACTTACTTGAAAGACATTCTATTATAAAACTTGCATAAAAATGAGTACATATTAATAAAGAATTTGAAGAAGCAGCAACATTGTACAAAGGACAAAGGCACTTGCCACCAAGTCTAGTGTCAGACCTGAGACCCCAGAAGCCACTTGGCAAAAACAAAATCAACTCCTAGTTGTCCTCTGACCTCCACAAAATGGCACTGAACATATTCATCTGCAGGTGTTCACACAAACACATACACACACACACACATACACACACACACAAAGATGCACACATGTATATAAAGATAATTTAAAATAAAAAGAGTACAAATAAGATTCATAAAAGGAAAAATCAGAAAAACAGATATTAAGGAAGTAAGAAAACCCTCTAGAAACTATAAAAAACAAGAAACAATTTTTTCTATACACTCCTAAACAAACAATTTACCAATATTACCAATTCAGCCCATAGGGTCTTACATTAGATACCAAATTTATAGAAGTATAAAAAGGTAAATCCCTCATGTTCCATCAGCATTGTTAGTGGTAAGTTGTTACAGAAGGAATAGAAAAATAATACTGTGTGTTTTTCTTCATTTTGCTGTATAGAATTTTTATACAATAAGACATAAGAGGCTTTGAACACATTAGTTTTTACTGGGCTCTGTAAACATTTTTGTCAGTTTTTCAGGCATGAAAGGTCTAAGGCAGAAGGGAGAAGTGTGCATGCCCAGGGCTGTGTGGTGTACACATCTGTTTAAAACTTTCAAGGAGGTTTGTGTAGGAGGCTGAAGCACTGTGGGTGGAGTATTATAACTCTGTTGACAGTAATAATATGCCAGATCTTCAGCCTGCACACTGCTGATGGTCAGAGTGAAATCTGTCCCAGATCCACTGCCTATGAAGCGATCAGGGACCCCAGATGCTCTAGTGGATGCATAGTAGATTAGCAGTTTAGGAGACTGCCCTGGTTTCTGCTGGTACCAGGCCATGTAGTTCTTCTGGTCTTCACTCCATAAAAGACTCTGACTGGACTTGCAGCTCATAGTGACCTTCTCTCTTGCTGATACAGCCAGGGAAGATGGAGACTGAGTCATCACAATGTCCCCACAGGTACCTGAAATAATGTATAGGCAGTGAAAATGCATACATACACAAACATAGATTATAATAACAGGTGTACTTTATCATTTATCATGTACTTATAATGTCATAATGTAAGAACATTATTATTAAGAAACATTAAACACTGACACATATTGCCAATTTCTTATTACAAAGATAAAACTTTGAAAACATTTTAATACTTTAAATTTCTTACCAGATACCCAGAGCAGCAGGAACATGAGGACCTGGGTCTGTGATTCCATCTTGTTCCCCCTGCCTATCTGATGCAGTTCAGTCACAATGAAAAGGCCTGCTTTATAAATTCTGAGCAGCTGGGCTGGGCTGGAGGAAACCATGCAAAGCAGACAGAAAATGAAGAACAAATACCTGGACAGTGTGTGAGTGAGTGCCTGGGGTCAATCGACAGACAAAAATGCTCTAAGAGAAAGCATAAAAAACACTAAAGGTAATTGGCTACTCATCACCAACAGAAATCCATTACGGGATCTAGTAGGTTTGAGTGAAAATAAAAGACATATTTAAATCAGTTGACTTTTTTGAAACTTTAGGAGAGCTATCTCAGATTGATCATTCTAGAAAACATGATAAGATATGCTGAGAAAAAATCACAAGAATATAAGAAAGACATAGTAAAAAAATGTTTCAAAAAAGATAGTAATGAATATATGTCATTAATGTGATACAAGACAATTCATGTTGTTGATATCCAAAGCGATTAATTTGTCTGATGTTAATGTACTAAAATTAAATCAGAATATTATTGAAATTAAATATACATTTAATCAATATGCATTTTCTTCTATTTTTCATTAAATATATCATTTTACACAGAAACTCTTCAAGTATAAAACATTAAATGATTTCTTATAAGCATGTTTATATCTCATTTATAAACTCCTGGCATACCAACATAACAGAGAGATGATTTGTGGCTTAAGAAAGCTCCCAATCTCTGGTATTGGCAGGCCTGGTAGTCCCTGAGGGCAGGACTCCAGTGATACAGGTAAAACTGGTAATCTTCTGATGGCAGCAGGCCACTGAGATTGCAGGTAGAGCTCTTTATCCTAAGTGGTAGCAAGTTTCCAGGGATACAGGTAGAGCTTTTAGTCACTGATGGCTTCAGGTCTCTGGATGATCTGGGTTGCAGCAGGTCTCCAGGGATAGAAGCAAAGCTGGTAGTCCCTGAAGGCTGCAGACATCCAGGATTGCTGGTCAAGGTGTGGATCAAAAAATTGAACACAGAGGATGGGGCAACCCTCACAGCTCCTGGGCTTGCTGGAGGAGAAGGCATGTCCTGGATAGCGTCAGGACTCCAGAGAAGCAGGCAGAGCTGTGCCTTGGGACATGAAGCGGAGACAGGATAGGAGGAACTCCGTGCTGGGTTGTCTTGGAGGGGCTAACATGCAGGCAATTGAGTTAGTACTCTCACCTGGTGGTCCTTGATAGCTGCAGACCTCCAGGATTGCAGTTGGCTGTGTATACCTGAAGATGGAACACAGCAGGGAAATGTCAGAACTCACAGCTGCTGGGCGTGTTGGAGGACCCAGCAGGCTGAATATGGGGAGGAGAATAGGAGGTGCAGGGGAGCCTAGCATAACTGTCCTCTGAGAGGTTACACCCAGTAGCTGGTCAAAACAGATGTGGAGACCAAACATCAGAAAAAATTCAAAGATCCTTGTGAAAGGGTTAGGAGAAGGATTGAGGAACCCAGAGAGGATGGGGACTTCCTAAGAAGATCAACAGAATCAAATAACCTGAGCCCTTGGTGGACTCTTAGAGACTGAACAGCCAACCAATCAGAATTCAGGGACTGTACCTAGACCCTTCCGGCCCACCCCCTGCACATATGTAGCAGATATGAAACTTGGTATTCATTTGAATCCCCCAACAACTGGAGCAAGACTTTTCCATGACTCTGTTGCCTGACTGTGGACCGTGTTCTCCTAACTAGGCTGCCTTGTCTAGCCTCAGTGGGAGAGGTTGTGCCTTGTTCTGCAGTGACTTGATGTGCCATAGTGGGTTGGTACACAGGAAGTTGTGGGGACCTCCCCTTTCTCAGAGAAAAAAGGGAGGAGGATACGGGGGAAGAAGTTGTGTAAGGTGGACTCAGGGAGGAAAAAGGTCTGTGATTGGAATGTAACTTGAATTAATTAATTAATTAATTAATTAACAAAATATTTCCCAATCTCAAACTGAAGAATATACCAGATGAGCAACAACTGCCATCAGTGTCTAACACGTTATCATCTGATCTTAATCCTCACTAAACTTTATACTTCACTTTGTGACAGCTGCAGTGAGTTCAGACTGTGCTCTCATGTCATTTATTGCTGCTCATTCCGATTGGACATGTGGAGACAGGGGTCTCACAAATCCAAAGACTCCTGCAGTTAAACATAGGCTTCTCACAGAATGTAAGGGAAGAGAATAGGAACTGAGCAGGTAAATTTTCCATGTTCTTTTATGTATAATAAATAAAAAAGCCTGACAGTCTTAGTCACTGCTTTTCTCACAAATCTGTTTTCCACAATGTCCCAGTGCATTTGATTCCTTGGGCTGTGGTTTAAAATGCACTACAAACCAGCTGACTCAAAATAACAGAGATGAATTTCTTGCCAGCTTTGGAGCCAGGAAATTTGAAGTAGATTATTTTGAGCTCCTGTGACACAGAAGCCTCTTCCATGGATCCACTATGCCTGGAGGCTTAGGGAAAGTCAGACTGAGATGCAAAATATACTGAAACAATATAAGGCTGAACTTGGCTTTGCTGTTGAATTACATATCTTTTACTCTCTGGATGAATGGCTCTAGCTACCCAATATCAGTGACAAGAAATAGTAGACATTGGAGGATTATCTATAATTCAGATAAAATATTAACATAATAGTATTTTTTGAAAAGATATACATGGTAGGGTACACTTGGAATTTGATCATTTAAGATGCTGACACATGGAAATTTCCATGGCTTCAGGGCAGATTGAGATACAAAGCTCGTTTTAACATAGCCTGTGATACACAAAAAGATTCCATATTTAAAAATAAATAAATAAAACTAGTCCATTCTGAATTAATGTTTTTTAAAATATATGATTATATGGCTCAGCAATTACTAGCACCTTCAGCTCTTTCATAGGATTCCATCTTATTTCTCAGCTCCCATATCTGGAGCCTCAGCACCACCACTAACTCCAGTTCCAAAAGACCCCGGGCCCTCTTATGGCCCATGGAGTAAGTAACACACACTCATGTGGCATACACAGAAAGAGGTTTACATAAGGACATAAATAAAAAACTTACATCTTCAAAAAGAATGCTTGATTATACATATGATATGAACACATATATATTATATAAACATATTTATATGTAAAGCATAAATATCTCAGGAATGTGAAGTTAATGTCGATTTCTTTTAAGTGAATATAAATTGTTCATACTCTATTATCTGATCAGAGTGTCCCTTCTTCAGCTCCTCTCACAACCTTCCCACCTTCCCAATCATCCATTTCTACACCTTCTTTTTCCTTCTTTTTAGAAAAAAAAGACTGGTGTGTGTGTGTGTGTGTGTGTGTGTGTGTAAGAAAAAAGCATACACACAATAAACATAAACACAAAACCAAAAACCATAATATATAAACAAACACCAGTAATGTAATAATGTCAAAACAAAGTAATATGAGGCCCTCCAAAAAAAACATTAAAAATACCATTCAGTTCATTTTATGTTGGACATCTATTGCTGGGAATAAGGCCTTCTCCTCAGTGGTGTTTAAAACTGCAGTGAGATTCCATTAATGAAAATTAGTTTTTGTTTTGGGAGTGGTTGCTTCTTGGCAATAGTTTCTTGCTTAGTGAGGACAGCTCATGTCCATTTCCTATACAAGGACCCCATTTAACTTAGAACTGTGCTGGACCTGTCCTTGCTACCACAATCTCTGCAGTTTGTATGCACATCATTACTGTTGTGTCTGGAACAACCCGTTTCCTTGCTGTCATCTAGCCCCCTCTGGCTCTTACAATCTTTCCATCTCCTCTTCCTCAAAGATCCCTGAGTTCTCAGGGAATTTGATGAGAACATTCCTTTTAAAACTAAGTGTTCCAAGGTCTCTCATTCTCTGTACCTTGTCCACTTGTGAGTCTCTATATTTTTTCTCACCCACTGCAGGAAGAAGCTCCTCTAATGATGGCTGAGCAGGACACCACAGAATGTTATTTCGAGTCCTTTAATTGCTATGTTCTTTCAGCAGAACAATAGTATCTGGGAATACAATATTTTATCTGGTGATACAATACTTCCCCTTGTTCCATGGCCTATCTGGGCTTAAATTTTTGGCCACTAGAGCAATGTCAAACATGGGTTGGATCTCATGGTATGGACTATAAATCCATAGACTGAAGATGGTTAGTCTGATAATCATTCAAGTCACAGGGTTTATAGCTACATTGGTAGATGCCCCTCTGGTATCTTTCAGAACCGTGAACACTAGTCAATAAGAGTAAAGGTTCTAGTTAGACACCAACTCAATTTCACTATGTACATATAACATATATGCATATATATATATATATATGCATAGGCATACACACATATATACACATATATGTAAAGGTTCTAGTTTAACGTATAGGGGTAAAAGGTCTAGTTAGGCACCAAATCAACTTATCTTTCTCTATACTTATATACATGTATGTATATATATGTATGTATACACATATATACATATATACAAGAAATATATATACATATAAAAGAAGTATATATGTTCACTTGGCCCACCCCAGGGTCTTCCTTTCTTTGTCTATCTCTTTCCACCTTACCCATCAGGAGATCCTTAGGGCCTGCTCTACTCTGATCTTTTTCCCACAGGATTACTGATACATACATGAAAAAATCTAAATGGAATCCCCAATTAAATAAAATTCAAAACCTCAACTAGACATTTTTTACCATTATGTGAAATCTCCAGTGTCAGAAAAGGGTGACATTTAAATTAGTTTTTGGTTCATGTGGTCCCCATTGCAATTTACAAACAGCATTATGGCTGTTGGTTTTTCTCCACAAACTGATGGTAAACCTCTATGAATAAAGAGACTTACTTCTTTTTATTACAGACTGAATGTCATCCATTCCTTCATGTACATGCACACACACACACACACACACACACACACACACACACACCTGTAATCTTGGTCTTCTGATACTGTCGTAAGGTAGCAACACTATATGGACTCTATATTCCACACAGATCTCAAACATTCACCACAGGATTCTTTAGACTGCTTCAGGAACATGGATTTTATGTCTAATGCTCTTCCCTCAAATAAAAGTGACATTTATATCACTT